ATTGGTGGAGGTTGGTTGGTTGATTGGTTGGTTGGATTTCTTTTGAGACAGGGTTTTTCTGTGTAACAGCTGTCCTGGAACTGTTGTGTAGACCAGGCTGGCCTCAAACTCACATTGATCTGCCTGCCTCTGCCTCCTGAGTCCTGGGATTAAAGACGTGCGACACCACTGCCAGACTTTATGATGGGTTTAATACTGACATGGCCTGTGGGTTCTTCCTAAAGGCTTTATGAACTATTCAACCCTTGAGGTGTCTCTTCCTCCCACTCAACTCCATCTTTATCAGGTTCTAAAAATGAGGTTGCCGGACGCTCTGGGACCTTAAACATTTGGCATCCATGTGCACAAAATGTAATTCCTGGACTGCCAGTAGACTAAAGTCTCTAGGGTATGAAAAGCCACACCCCTGTTAAGGATCTTGAAGGCTGAAACATTGATTAGAACTTAGCTCATGCTGTTCAAGCACAGGGAGCTGAATTACCCTGTGCTATCTCTAGTTCCTTCAGTAGCTGTTCATTGTTCACCCCTGTGCCGGACCTAACATCTTTTTCACTACCAAAACCTTTAAAAGAGGGACTGGAGAGATGGCTTTGTGGTGAAGAGCACTGCCTGCTCTTCCAGATGAACCCAGGTCCAATTCCCAGCACCCACAAGGCAGCTCACAACTGTAACTCCAGTTCCAGGGTCTCTGACACCTTCACACAGACACACATGCAGGCAAAACACAAATGCTCATAACATAAAAATAAATAAGTCATCAAAAAGCTTAAGATGTTTCCAACCTCAGTTAAGATGATGTTTTACCTTTCTTCTGCAGGTGGTGTTGTGTTACATTACATTGTTTTTGTGTCCAGCATTGGCAGCATCCCAGAGACCCTGCTTGGTTGTGACCTTTGTTTATTTCCTTTCTTAGATCTCCTCTCCTTCCTTTCCTTATTTGAGACAGGTCCCAGCACTCGGGTGACAGAGGCAGGAGGATCTCCGTGAATTGGAGGTCAGCCTGGTCTACAAAGTGAGTTCCACTACAGTCATGGCTGTTACATAGAACAGCCCTGTTTTAAGAAACTGAAAAAAAAAAAAGCTTGTTAGCCACATGCTGTGTAGAAGTTTCCCCCTGTATTGAGACATTCCATCCTGCAGGAAAGATCTTAAGTAGGAAGGTCTAGGGTTCAAACTCAGATCCTCATACTTATTCGAGAAGCAATCTTACCACTAAACTATCTCCCTGGTCCCCACCCCCCCTTTTTTAGATAAAGTCTCATTTAACCCGAGCCTCTAACTCTCTTAGTAACTGAAGCTAGCTGTATTTTTGTTTTGCTTTGAATTAGATTTAGTCATTTATTTTATGTGTCAGTGGTTTTGCTTGCATGTATGTGTACCAAGTGCATGTTTGGTGCCCAAGAAGATCAAAAGAAGGCATCAGATCCCCTGGAACGAGAGTTACAGGTGGTTATGAACCATATTATGGGCGTTGGGAATTGAGTCTGGGTCTTGTGCAGGAACAACAGATGTTCTTAACTTCTGAGTCATCTCTCTTGCCCCTGGCCTCAAATTCTTGACCCTTCTGCCTGGGACCTCCTAAGTGCTGAGCTGAGAGGTGTGTGTTGCCACAGCAACATAGAGGGTGGTTGTCATTGATCTTAATCTTACATGTTTCCTTTCAATATTAAGTCAACAGCCTTCATCTCCTTGTTTAAAGCAAGTACTCTACAGCTTCTGCCTGGCATATGAATTGCCAACATCGTTACCCTGGGTTTTAGGGCCATTAATCAGTAAAATGAAAATTAGTTGCAATCCCATGAAGGTTGATCTGATAGCATAACTGAGCCCATGGCTAAATGAGTAATGAGCAGATAGAATGTGCTCTGGGAACTCACTGCACAGAGCGTTGACTCAGCTCTTGATGCAATAGCATTTGCCATGGGGACTCCGCAGGAGCCCGACAAGCATCCCTCATAACATCCATTTTCATTCCTTGATCTCTTCGTTATGCAATGTGGAATGGGCAAGAATGCGGGAGAACAAGATAATAAAATCAAGAGAATCCAGTACTGGCTAGGGAAAGATAATACAGCCTTTGGCCTCTACCTCACAGAGATCCGCCTACCTTTGCCTCTGGGTGCTGGGACTAAAGGTGGGTGCCACCACACCCAGCAGATTTTTCTTTTTCGTTATGTCAGGGCCACCCACATGCTGAGAAGTGTTTAACACAGAGCCACAACTCCAGCTCCAAATGACTGACTTCCTTGTGACAGGTCTCATTCTGTAGTGCAGATTGGCCTTGAATTCAAATCCTCCTGCCTCAGCCTTCCCAGTGCTGAAACCAGACTCCGTCATATCCTGGTTAAATGAATAACTTATTTTTATTTATTTATTGAGTATTTTGCCTGTAGGTAAGTATGTGCACGAGGAGTGTGCCTTGTGCTCTCAGAGGTCAGATGAGAACATTGAAACTGGAGTAGTGAGCCACCATGTGGGTGCTGGGAATCGAACCCAGGTCCTCTGCCAAAAAAAAAAAAGTGCTTTTAAGCACTGAATCATCTCGCCAGTGCTTTAAGTGAGTCGCTTCACATTAAAAAACTACAAATCCAGGCTGAGGACACTTGGTCATACAATGCAGAGCCCGTGGGAACCTAGATACAATCCTCAGCGCGCACACACACACAAAATAATCAATATATCAATAGGACTTGGATCATAACTCCAGGCTTCAATTTTGGAAAGTACATAATAAAAATGATAGTGACTATGTGTGGTTTGCAATGATTAAACAATGTTTTATAAAATAACATTCTCAGGTGCCAAAATATAAGTTTTTAAAATTGTAAGTTTAGGCTGTCTAGATGACCCTGTGGGTAAATGAGCTGGCTCTGCACCCCTGATGACAGGAATCTGATACAGCATCTACAGAAAAACTGTCCAATGTGGGATGTCCTTCTGATGACAGGAATTTGACACAGCATCTACAGAAGAGAACAACTCTCCAAAACTGTCTGATGTGGGATGTCCTTCTGTATAAGTGTTGCTCTTTATTGGTTAATGAATAAAGCTGTTTTGACCAATGACTTAGCAGAGTAAAGCCAGGCAGGAAATAGAGAGAAAGATTAGGTGGAGTCAGGGAGACGCCATGTAGCTGCTGAAAGAGAAGGACACGCGGGAACCTTAGGAACCTTACCGGTAGGCCACTGCCTCGTGGCGATACACAAATTGGTAGAAATGGGTTAAGATGTAAGAGCTAGCTAGGAATTCGCATGAACTATTGGCCAAACAGTGTTGTAATCAACACAGTATCTGTGTGATTTTAATCAACATAGTATCTGTGTGATTGATTATTCGGGTCTGGGTGGCCGGGAAACTGTCCTGACATCCACATGCATGAACATACAATAATAGTAATAATAGTGTGTGAAAACATATCTGAGGGTATGTGAGTGCCCCTGTATGTGGGTGTGTGTGCATATGTACATGTGGAGGCCGGAAGACCTCAGACATCATGCTCAGGAACCAGGTCTGCCTTTTCCAAGACAGCGTCTCTCATTGTTCTAGAGTTCACCAGTTAGGCTGGCCAGGCTTGGTGGTGAACTGCAGGGACACTCTATCTGCTGCCCAGCTTTGATATATGGGGCTGCTGGGGGTGAATTTGGTTTCTCAGGCTCTAGAAAGTACTTTACCGACAACTATCTTCCCAAGCCCTCCCCTTTTTCTGTTGTTTTAGCTATTATTAGCTTTAATTATATGTAAGAATGTACACGTTGAGTACAAGAGCACACAGAAGCTCTGGCCTGGAGCGAGGGTTACAGGCAGTTATGAGCCACCTGGCATGTTGCTGGAATTGAACTCAGTTCCTCTGGATGAGTAGTATGAACAAACATGTTTTGGGACCGAGGTCCAGATAGCGTTGAATTTGTGATCCTCCGGCCACAGACCCCCCAGGACTTGGCTCACAGGTCCTGCTGGCAGGAACTCATCACTACTGAGAGAGATGAAGACAGCAGGGGTGAAGCTAACATTCCGCTTAGTCTCAGCTGCCAGGAAGCTAGGGGAGAAGAATCTTTTGAGCTTGGGTTTTCAGGGCGACAGATACCAAATGTCTCTTAAAAGGTGTGCTGGGGAGGCGACTCGGGATAACAGCACTTGCTGCTTTTCCAGAGAACCAGAGTTCGGTTCCCAGCACCCACATCAGGCAGCTCACAGTTGCCTGCGGCTCCAGTTGCACGGGACTCAATGTCCTCTTCTGGCCTCTACAGGCATCTGCACCCACATGTGCATACATGCACGGACATACATGTGCACGTTTTAAAAAGACATCAGTAGACCGTGAACCCTACGGCTTCACCGTTTGATCTTGGGCAGGTTGCTCTGCCTGCTGTAATCTGTCTTTGACCTAAAGGGACAGAAGAGCTAAAACTTCCTCCAGCTCACACAGTTGAGGAGACCCCCTACCTGTGTCTAAGAGTGGCTACAAAGGTCCAGCCCAGGGTGTTCCCAGACTGGACAAAGCTTTCAGGTCCTTTCTCTCCAGATTCAGGAGCTGCTGACCTCTCCTGGTGGGCATCAGACTGGTGGTGAGGGCAGAGTGCCCAGTTGATGTAGAGTCAGATAACTGGCCCCAAGTGCCTATTGAGGTTTCCTCTTAAAACTGCTTCCTTCCCCAGGCAGTTAGGGGAGGTAAACAAGACAACAGGCAAGAAAGTACTTTGAGAGCCACAGGAGAAGAATACAAGAGAAGAGCTGAAATAAAGCTTGCGAGCATTGTGTCTGTTTCCCCTCTCTGCCTTCCAATTATACACAAACTCTTTGATTCAAAAAAAAAACAAAAACAAAAAACTAAATACCACCAACTTTCAAGAACTGTCTCTCTCCCTCCACTACTGAAATCAGGTCATGGGAGTTGCAACCCTTACCTGCTGAGCCCCCCCTCTCACGTGTGTGTGTGTGTGTGTGTGTGTGTGTGACTGAGGGCAGCCTTGAACTTCTGAACCTCCTGCCTCCAAACACCAAGTGGTGGAATTATAGGCATGTGCCACCACAACCAATACTTGCAGTGCTGGGGACAGAACCCAGAACTTTTGTCTTGTTTGCTTGGCTGAATCTTTTGGAGTTGTTGTTTTTCCAAAAGAAGCTAAAGACCTGGACCTTCTTTTGTGTGTGAAATACTTTGAATTTAAACCTCAATTAATTTCACTTGTTATTTATTTATTTACCTTAGATGGAGTCTCAGGTAACCCAAACTGGTCTCAAGTTCCTGACCTTCCTGTCTCTACTCTGAAGTGCTGGGGTCATAGGCATGAGCCACCACCACACCTAGTTCTTGACCGAGGCTAATAACCCCTGAAAATGCAGCTGGCTCGGTTCACACAGCGCCATCAACTTTAGCCTCCGCATTAAAGAGGCAGTGGACTAAACAAGGTTCTCTTTGACCTCAAGCCTTCAATACTACTGAGCCAGAAAACTGCCCTTGCCTCTCACATGGAATTCTAGTGGGTTTCCCACCCTAGCCCAGTAGACTCAGAGTTTAGGGCAGTGGGATCCATGTGTGTGTGTGTGCAAATGCTTCTGGTAATCACCCACAAGACTGTACTGTCCTCAGGACCAGCCCTTGCTAGATCTTCTGTGACTTCCAGAGGATGCCAGAGATGGGCTTCCGACAGTGTATTTCACCTTTTACGTTGGAGCTTTTAAGACCATTCCCCACACTCCTGGAATATCTCTGGGTAGTGCCTGAAGTCCACAGGTGGATCCAGGTCCCCTTGGCCTGTGGCCGGGGATATAGACAACTGACTGGCTTCTCTGTCCCTATGGCCCCTAGCTCCTGGCCGATGGACCCACTGATGCTTCGCCACTGCGGACTTCTGGCCAAAGCACCTGCCACACTGAGGGCACGGGTAGGGACGCTCGCCACTGTGGGTCCGCCTGTGGGCTGCCATTTCCGAGCTCTGGCGGAAGCAGCGTCCACAGTCAGGGCATGAGTAAGGCTTTTCACCCGTGTGGGTGCGCACATGGCGCCGAAGATCTGAGGCATGGGCAAAGGCTCTGCCACAGTCTGTGCAAGGAAAGGGGGTCATGCCGCTGTGTACCCGCTGGTGCTGATGGAGCGCAGAGCTCTGGCTGAAGCAGCGCCCACAATCAGCACAGCGGTAGGGCTTCTCCCCAGTGTGGACACGCAGGTGGGTGGTGAGGGCAGAGCGCTGCGTGAAGGCTCGGCCACAGTCAGGACAGCGATGTGGCCGTTCCCCTCGGTGTATGGCCCGGTGCTTGCTCAGGGAGGAAGCTCGACCGAAGGGCTTGCTGCAATCAGGGCAACGGAAAGGCTTTTCACCAGTGTGAGTGTACAGGTGCTCCACCAATGTGGAACGCCAGGCAAAACTCTTCCCACACACACGGCAGCCATGACGCTGATCTGCTCTTGGGACAGTGGCGTGGACACCACGAGGGGGTTGAGGGTCCTTGGGCAACAGCTCCAAGTTGCAAGGGGGTCCAGCAAAGGAGGGGTGAGTTTTCTTCGGCCCAGTTTGTGTAGAAAACATCTTCTGGGTTGCCTCAGTCTCTTCCCTTGGTCTCTTCCTTTCCTCCTGTCTGCAATCTGCTCAGAGACCAAGAATAAGCTCAGACTCTGACTCATCCTGCTCCTTGATTTCCACACCCCCACAAGGTGACAGACGGGGCACTGGAGGGGAGAGGCCACAGAATCTGAGCATGCAGGGTGCGTGGATGTGCAGAGGCAGCATAAAGAAAGGCATCAGTGTGGTCCCCAATCCCAAGTCCAGCGGGCTGAGCACTTGGCAGAGGTGGACAGGAAGAAGTGAAGGAGCCTCCAGAAGGGAACCACAGTGATGGCAGCAGGACAGCCGTAGAGACACAGGGCTCGGATCAACATAGCCTAGTGGCCGACTAGATAGGAAGTGGGAGCATTCACGACACAGGCACAATCACAGTCCCTTTCTAGGTGAATCCAGGGGTAAACATAATGACTTTGGCCAAGAACACAGTTCAGGGAAGAAACTGCCAGGCAGGTAAGTGGAGTCACCAGAAGACACCATAATGGGCCGGCTACTGAGAAGTCCCCCAAAGACGGAGTACCCAGTCCTTCACCTGAGTCGGCTTCTGTCGGACACATGGCCACCTCTGGATCCTGAGCACCGGGTCCCCACAGTTCGGCCTCTTCCTCCACCCAGGAGATGAGCGCTGGCTTGGTGCCTCCGCCTCCTGAAGGGAAAGAAAGCAAACCCTACGATGCGGGTAGGCCAACCACCTTGGTCCAGGCCGCCTGTTCCCAGGGCTCCCCGTTCCACCGCTGGACCCACGGTGTCACGCGCGGGGCGAGCCCAGGCGACCAGGAAAGGCTCTCACCGAGCGCGCGCAGGAGACCGTAGGTCTCGCGCATCACCTCCCGGTACAGGGCTCTCTGAGCCGGCTGCAGACACCCCCACTCCTCGGGGGAGAAGTACACGGCCACGTCCGCGAAGTTCACCGCCCCGGGCTTCCCGAACGCGGCCCGAGCCGAGGACCTTCCCGGGGCGAGTGGCTGCGCCATGGGGACCCTCCCCCGGCTCGGCCCCGGGCCAGTCCAGAGCACCCGGGAACGCCTGCCCAGCCCCAGGTGCCCGCGCTCGGATACCAGGGCCGAGAAGCGACAGAAACCAGTTCCGTGCACACCCTAATGTAGGTAAAATTTGAAAACTGAAGGTAGCAGGTACATAATCAGGACTTGAGGTTGCCTGCATAAAAATGGTGGCAGTGGGGTCTCACGAACTAGGCTCCCTAGCGGTTGTGCCCAGGGTTACGTCACCGGTCTTTCTAGGTCATTGTCTTCTAGCCCTCATCCAAAATGGCCACAGAGTCTACAAGTGCCAGTCTGAGAACAACTCCCAGGCGGAGAGGCCCCCATGTGGGCGGGGACTTCCCTGTCGAGATGCAGTTGGGCGTGGTACTAACTCTGGGGACCCACAGCTCTCTCAAGGTCTGCTAGGTGGAAACGGCCTGTGAATGGGTGTTTAGTTTTTTGATTCTGGACGGTGTATTATGGAGCCGGAAGCCTGTGGAGGGAAGGTAAAAAAATAAAGCGGGCCCTCAATTAGGGGGTTTCCACCAGCATGGTATAGAAATCTCAAACTAGTTGAGGAATACCACTCCTGACAGATCAGAGATCACGAAGCTGTTCTTTGAATAACCAGGACACCTGGGACATTCGCAATGGCTCACTTCTAATCTTTGAAGTGTTCACCTGCTCATCCAGACTTCAATCCCAAGAGGGAATTACCCATCAGTGGTTTCTGGGCTGTTTGTAAGATTCCCATCAAATACCCAAGAGAGGAATGAGGCCCTACTTACAGTCATATACATTCAGGCTTTGAGCCTCCTTCATTGCTATTTTAATATAAATACTATCTATAAAAGGAATATTATCTTCATGTTGGCATCATTCACTGCAAACGTTAAGTGCTGGAATTCTTGCTTCTCAGCTGGGGAGAGGCGTCAGCCAGACTTCAGGACAAGGGGCTCTTTTCCCTTCTCATGCACCCATAATTGTCCCGACTGTCTACCGTGCCTCACTGCAAATATGTTGGATCAAGGTGAGGTTTCTGCTCACCGAGTCTATACTAAGCTGAAAGCAAATGTGAATCCCCTCGGCGCAGAGTGACTTCAGATCTTCGGCAGACTGTTGAGGTCTGTGTGAAAGATGAAGCTTCCTCCGGCTCTAGGAGGTCACTAGCGTTGAGCCCCGAGCACGAGGTCACTCAGAATGTGAAATAGATCATCCTAAGCCCTCCTGGCTTTTTAGTTTCAGTTAGATGATCCGACGTTGTTATTCTGATGTTATTCTGCCACCTGCATCTTTGCCAGCTGGACATCTGACAGTGTGTTACTATCCAGAATGTACAAAGAGCTCAAAAACCGAAGTCAAAACACACAAATGACCCATTCAAACTATGGACATGGCATCTGAACAGAGGGTTCTCAGGAGAAGAAATAGAAATATCTCAGAAAGTGTTCATTGTCCCTAGCCATTACAGAAATGCAAATCAAAACAACTTTGAGATTTCATCTCACCCCAGTCAGAATGGCAAAAGTCAACAAAACAACAGACACAAATGCGGGAGAGCACACGGGGAAAGGGAGCTCCTTCAGTGCCGATGGGGTTGCAAACTGGTCCAGTCCCTCTGGAAACCACTGAGAGCCTGGTCACAAATCTACTGTAGGACCCAGCTCTATTTTAGGTGTGAACCACCATACCTGGCGCTTCCTCAGCCATGTTTATTGAAAGTGGAAACAATCCAAATGTCCTTCAGTTTAGAAATGGATAATGGGACCAGGTGATGGTGGCACACGCCTTTAATCCCAGCAGTTGGGAGGCAGAGACAGGTGGATCTCTGTGAGTTCAGGGTCAGCCTGGTTTACAGAATGAGTTCCAGAACAGCTGGGGCTACACAATGAAACTTTGTCTCAAAAAAAAAAAAAAGAAAGAAAGAAAGAAAAGAAAAAGAAAAAAACAGAAAGAAAATGAAATGGACAATGGAAATGTGATGCACTATGGAACGCCACTCAATTGTACAATTGTATAAAGAAAAATGAAAATTTCAGGTAAATGGATCAAGTAAAGTAATCTATCAAGGAGCAGAAAGACAACCATCACATGTTTTCTTTTTTCTGAGGCTCCTAGCTCCAGATCTTCAGATGTGAGCTTATAACCTGGAATGACTGCACAAACCAGGAAAGTAAAAAGGGACCATTGCAGGGGTTGGAGAACAATAGAGAGGGGAATTAGCAGGTGCAAGTGAGGAAGCAGGGAAGATAGGAGAGGGCTCTAATCAGGGAGGAGAGAGGGAGATAAAACAGAAGGAGGGGATAAGATAACAGTAAGGATATCTGAAAAGGTCATGAGAAATCACAGAATAACTATTAACTTAAAATACCTATAATACGTGTAAGACGAGTCTATCTATGTCTATGTATATAGTTTAGATGAAACTTTCTCATCTGGGCTGACTATGCTTCCCTGCAGAGTCATGGGCATCTAACAAAGCCCCCACCATCTGTGCGCAGCCCCCTTCTGATTGTTGAACAGGGTTGGACAAAGACTCCAAAAATAGTATAGGCTAATTTTGTTGCCCTTGGTTGCCCCCTAGAGGTAGAAGTCCCTATTGCTGAAACACAGTATTGCTCTTCAAACACAGGGTCCAGAGGACCCAACCTGGATCTGACCAGAAAGATTTCAGGTTGTGGTGGCAAATATCTTTAATCCCAGCACTCAGGAGGTGGAGGCAGGTGGATCTCTGTGAGTTTGAGGCCAGCCTGATCTACAGAGTGAGTTCCAGGACGGTCAAGACTATACAGAGAAACCCTGTCTCAAAAAACCATAAAGATAAAGAAAAGATACTTCAATAATAAAATCCACCCAACACACAGCATATTTCTCACTATCAAATTACCAGAACCTAAAGATTAGAATTCCATACAACTTAATTCAAAGGTGTTAAATACATGATATCAGAAAGCGCCATGCAAGCTATGACATCTGTGAACCACAGCCAGATATAATAGCCCTAAAGGTGGTTACCTTGGTGATAACCAACAAATTGGACTTCGGTCCACTCAACAAGAGGGAAACCAGGCCTGTCAGTGACCACATAGCCAGCTACCCAGGGCTCTAGCCCTGGAGTCGTGGATCTTGGAGGAGAACCTACAACTACCACCTTACTAAACCAGCATAACCCAACTGCACACTGTTTCTCCATATACTCACAGGTCTGTGTAATTCTCATCCCTCATCAAGGACAACTCTTTGCAACAGATGGAGACCCTTACACAAAACCAAAACCAATCAAAATGCAGAGTTGTGGAGCCCAATCCCAATGGATGTATCTACAACACACCTCCTTGGGGGTCATGGAAGAAGTGGGGTGGTGGCACAAAGACTGTAAGAGCCAGAGGGACAGGACGTTTGCTGTGAGATTGTGTCTCCTAGAAATGTCAGAGAAGCGACACCCAGGACCCCTCACCAACTGTTGGGACATAAGGATGACACTAAGAGACATGCTAATGTAGAAGGGGGATGCTCACAAGCACCTAACCCTAGACAACTAAGGAATGATGGGAGGAGAAACAGGCCTTTCCAGAGAAGAGTACACTGATTGGTTATCCAACAGAAATCACCTCCGAGACCATACACACGAGGAACATTATACAGACGGAGCAAGGATAGTTAGGAGCATCATATATTAAATATAATGGAATATATAATACATATACAGAATATATTATATATGGGATATATATATATATATATATAAACATAACACCAGTTAAAATAAAGGTGAATTTGAGAAAGAGCAAAGAATTTGAGAAAGTACATGGGAGGAGTTGGAGGGAGATAATATATTATATTATAATCTCAGTATGTATAAAAGACTCAGATAGTTCTAAAGGGAGGGTCTTAAGACTCAAGAAGTCCTAAATAGGAACACTCTATACAAAGAGGGGCTCCTTAAGACTCAGGAAGTAAACAGGTCACCAGCCTCAGGGACCACTCTCCCCTTCCCCAAGGTCACATGAACAGTAAGGGGTGGTGAAAAGGAGAGACTTTCCATCCTGTCCAGTTGCTTACGGGTCCTGCAGGGAGCTCCAGGCTTCAGTTTGTCACTGTGCTGGGGTGGACTTTGGTGATGCAGTCGTCCTGTTCCTGTAGGGGAACCCTTGCCCGTAGTCCTGTGAGTGATACTAATAAACTCTTCAGTTCACCAAAGTGGACTTTGGTGGTCTCATGACTTTAGTCTGTTGTTGGTTCCCTTCTGACACTAGATATTTGCTCATGTTTTCCTAGGAATAGCATCACATAATACCTTATCTCAAAATAAAAAGTAAAGGAGCCTGGGGGAGGCTGGATGTGGCTCAGAGATCGAGTGCTTGTCTAGCATGCACCAACCCCTACAGTCAACCCTCAGTTCTGAGAAGAAAGAAAGTTACCACTGGGCTGTCTTCCTAACGCCCTTCTTTACATTTTCCACGTTGTGAAATGTCAACAATAACTCACTTGTTAAACAAACGCTCATTGCACATTCGCTATGCCATACATATTATCTTATTGAAATTTCAGATTTTGACAGCAACTCTTTAAGGAAGCTGTTATTAATCTCCATTTTGCTGAGAGGGCACGAAGGCTCAGAGGGGCAGTGATTCCCCTGGAGATCACCAGAGAGTCGCAGAGACTGGTGTGTGCCACATTGTCAGTGATCTTCCAGTCTTTACAGTTGGACTTCCTGCTGGTGACAGTTTTGCATGCCCTCTGCTAGGTCTAAACTCTATACATTAGGCCCCCTCAGCACTTACCTGTAAAGTAGACAAGGAAGGAGTGGATGGTTCCTGAGCTGATGGGAAAGTCTTGGCTATAGAGAAAGAAATACTGAGAGAATGCAGTATCTTGTATTTTTTCTTATTTTCCTTTTGCTTTGTGTTTTTGTGGTGTTAGGGTTTCAAGGCCTTGTGCATGAGCCATCCTCAGTCCTTGTTTCCTGACCTGTAAGGTCTCCCTAAGTAGTCCCAACTGGCCTTGAACTCCGACCTCACACTCCCAAATGCTGGGGTAACAGATCTGTGTCCCATGCTCAACAACCACAATACCATCAACGACTTCTTCTTCTTTCTTCTCTTTCTCTTCCT